ATCAGCTGTGAAAGTTGTGGATGTAAATGTTAGTTTCTCAACTTTCCAAATCATGAATTAGTATTCCACTGTTCACCCATGAGAGGAGGCATTTTAGAAATGCTTCTTCAGAAACCTTTTCTGGTCTATTCACGAACATCTAGATAGTGATCTTGTGTTCCTTATTTTCTTTCATTTTTTATCGGATTTGGAAATTCAGAATCCATTCTATGACTGTAATCATGGTAGGGGAAAACGGTCATTGATAATGGAACTAAGATTTATAAATCGTATGCCAACTCAATATCAACTGTGATTTGTGGCTGAAAGCTCACTGTTCTGTCTACTTTTTAGTATGAATGCTTTCGCTGACTTTCCTATAAAATGCTTGTGGTGATTAATGGATGCCTTAATTTCACATGCAATAAGTTTTTTGGTTGTAAATTTTATTGTTTTTCTTTCTTTATAAGTTTCTCTACTTTCTTTCAGGAAGACCATGGGGTCTTGTTAAGAGCAAAGTTCGAAAGGATTACCCTTCGGTTCAGTTAACAGCATGGAAGGTATGGTAATTCTGGACATTATTTTGGACCACATGCAGAGCATTTCAATGGTATGCCCAATATATGACACTTTAGCTATGACATGCAGTTTTGGCCTATTGTTGGATGGGTGAATTACCAGTACATGCCTTTGCAGTTCCGCGTTGTGTTTCACAGCTTTGTTGCCTCATGCTGGTAGGCTTTCAAATCCTGCAGTTCTACTTTCTTTCTTCCTCCAGTTATCCTTCTTTTCAACTGTTCTGATTAACTGCCTTATGCACATGGATCAGTACATCAGTTCATATAGTTAGCCGTTGAGATGATGATATTGATTGTAGAGATAATGCTGAAATTTTTGTCTCAGTCACACATAAGTGGAATTCTAAGGTGCTCTTTGGCCAAAATGTGATCTGTGCCATGCAATTGTGGTTATATTGATTATTGTTTCTAGATATGGTTATCAGCCGGATGAAAATTACTGTAAAGCCAAATAGGTTGGAGATGTCAATAATATGCTATTTCACAAACTTTTATGCTTGCTATGGTGGGTGTACCTCATCTATTATTTGTTATTTTTAAGTGGTGTCGATTTGTTAGAAGCTTCATGCAAAATATAACATTCCCATGTTAATCACTGGATGAGTTTGCTCGTTGGTAATGACATTTGCTCCTTGTATTTGAACTTTCAGGGCTATTTTCCTCAACCTGAAAGCAAGGTCTGTTGCGGTTAAGAGTGCATAGAACCAGCAACAGACTTGTAGACGCATCTGCTCCTCAGCGCAGCACTTTCAACGTCTCTGGCCTTTGTTTATATGGGATTAGAAATCGTGACTGAATTTTTTTTCCTTTTTGTGGTTAGGGTCATCAATTTCTACTCATTGAGCCTATATTTGTGATTTTATCAAGCTTTCATTTAATGCTGAAGGGAGATTTCATAACAAATCAGGAATTTGGTTATGTACTTTTAAATGGAATAAGCTAGCTTCCAGTGCTTACGGCGAAAAGCTTAGCTTATTGGATAAAGCATTTGGAATTCTTGTAAGAGGTATTGGTTCCAGTCCTTATTCCTTGTAAGAAAAGATAGCTTCCCGGTTAAATGCATGAAAAAGTAAAAAGGGTTTGTTAGATCCAGAAGATGATTGATAGCAAAATGTGCACATACAGAATCTATTTGAAAGGTTCAATTAATTTTATCTATCTACATTAATATGTGCAAGAAACTGAAATATCTTTTGTTTTCTTACAACATGTAAGTCGGTTAAGGATTTTTTTTGTTCTTTTCCATTTTAGAAGAGCTCCTTGATGTGGGTAATAATCCTGACTCACCTCAAATATGCCAAAGGTTCGAACTCAGGACCTTAGGAGTCCTTAGTCTAATAAATCCGACTCGCCTCAAATATGATCAGTTTACGTATCAAGTCATTTCTATTGACTTTTCAACTAGGTCTATAAATGCCATACAATTTATATGGTATGAAATTAGTATATATATATATATATATAGATTTGTTATTATATGATAGATAATCATTTTCTGGGAAGGGAGAGTGTGGTATTTCCTCTTGTTATTAGTAGTAAATTTACAAGTTCACTCAATGACTATCATTGTATACCTATTATATTATATCAAGTAACTTCTCTTTTTTAGATGACAATAGAATCAACAATTTTAATCAAAGCAAATTTCTACTTTACTATTGATCGATAAATTGAACCTTAGGTTTATAAAAATAACTATTCTTCATATTTCGATCTACTAAATCTTTTCCATCAATAACAATATCTTTGAAAATAAATTCATTCGGGTTACTATAAAATTTCACTCGGGTTGCTATAAAATACCAAATTCATCATATTAATCAATCTATCTCTATCACCAAGTTACCAATTCTTTTGGATTCAACCACTTCAAGTCTTTTTCTCAAGCTCTCGGTCTTAGACTACTTTAGGAAGACAACGTAGATATTAGTAGTGGATCTCTAAATCCAAGTACAAAAATATACCTCAATTGTAATATCCCACCTTAGGAAAATAATAATAATTATTTAATTATGGATCCAAGAGAAATTATATTATTATTTTGTAAAATTTGTGATGCTGTTTTATACTTTAGTATAAACTATTAGGTCTTTTAATAATTACATAATGAGTAGTCCTATATATATAAGTTAATTATTAGGGTTTAGATAAAAGACTCTAAAACCTGAAGAAGAAAATAGAAGAGAAAGAAAAGAGGAGAGGAAGAAGAAGAGGCATGTAAGTCCCATAAACTCTAAATTAAAATTTTATTACATGATATCTATACATAAAATTAAAAAACATATGCATGTGCAAGGAAGAAAAGTGCGTGGCAGTAGTTTTTTTGCTACAATTTTATTTTATTTTATTTTTTTGTCAAATATCTTTTATTTATAATTTACATCATAATCTTTTCACAGAGACCAAAATTATATGATTTAAATTAAAATTAAAAAAATTATAAAATTTTGAAATTATGAAGAAATCGTGAAGGTTTAATGCATGTTTTCAATAGTAAAACTATGTATTTAAGACCTAAGAACCTTATATAACTGTTATATAAAATAAAACTAATGTTAAATAACCTAGAAGACTAAATTAAACAAAGGCATAACTATATATTAGATAACCACAGTAACATATCACCTATATCTTTCTGTTCCTTGTATTTTGTAAATTCATGCAGGAAGATCATCCATAATGGTTAGTTGCACCTGCAATTTTTTTCTAACTTTATTTGCTTCTTAGAATTCCATATATTTTGACGCTTAATGTTGTTTTATAAGGTAAAATATCAGTCATATGAATGTTACAGTGGCTTAAGACAAGATTTTCTAAATTAGATCATGTTTTTATTTGCATAGAATTATTGCGGTTTGATCTTTCTAACCTACCTTTTATGAAAATATATTGAAATTTTAATAATCAACCAGTACTAGAAAATTCCTTAGTGAACTATCTACATATTCTCATATTAATATAAAATAAATAATATATCAGAACTTACATTTTCCTATTAACTTAAACTTTAAGAAAAATTAACTACAAAGGAATTGCCTAACTTAGAACTTACAAAAACTAAAAAGTTCAGATTTAAATCTTAATTATCACCCAATTATGTTAATCACATTTCAGTGGCCTTGCACGTGAATGAATGTGTCAGTTAATATATTAAATAATAAATTAAATTATAGTTTATATTAAATTTAAGTTTCTCAGAAAATTAACCATATAATCTATTGTGGTTAACTGGAAACATAAAATTCAAAGATAAGAGTAAATTTTTTAGAGGTGAAAATCGAAAACATTTTAATTTATAATAATAATTAAATAAAAAATAAAAAAAGTTGGTAGGAGGAAATTGATGGGCATGCATGAACTGGGCATATTAAGGCAGTTGGAGAAAATGACAAGAAGAAAGCAACGCATTGCCACCTACCTGAACAAAACTGCATGTGCAGCAGAGAATCCCATAACTCCTTACCACATACCTTCACTTCCATCTCATCGCAACACATTATAACTCTTTTCTGTCATCAAACATATTTTTTAATGAAATAAAAAAAAAAAAAACTACAATATATATATGTATATATTTGTGTGAGCGTGTGTAAGCATTTAATAATAATGTAAAAAAGAAACTAGAGATTTTCTTCTTTTCATGAATTTTCTGTTAAATTCCTGCACTACTCCATACCATCGCCAGCCTCATATATAAGACAGTTCTCTTTCGAACGTTGTACTGTGTCAATTACAAACAAACACATGCATGTATCATCTCAAACCCAAATATTTTCACATGATAAAAACACTAACAAACACATGCATTCTCGATCTCTTTTACCCCTTTTTCTTCATTATTAAATTGTTCATATCACAAATTATCTTCATGACATCACCCCAATCGTATTTCTTCCAAGTAAAACAACTATCCTTCACCAAGTAGATAATCTCTTAGTCGTTCCTCAAACAACCAGCAATATCAGCCATGCAAACATTTCAAAAACCAAAAGAAAAAGATCATAATAAACTTTTATCTTCACACACCACAAACACAAATGCAAAACTTTACGAGAATCATCCAGCAAATGAACAAGCTAGTAATTGAAAGCATACATTAACAAGAACTACGTTGAAAAGAGTTCCTTCCTTCCTCTCTCAGTTAACAGTTACAGTACATTACCATCTCCTCCATATTCTGCTCGGCAACATCCAAACCACAGTACTATCCAAAAAAAAAACAAAATCACAGAGAGGAAGGTTGTAAGATAACCCAAAGACAATTTGAGAGCAAAACATAAAGAGAGGCCAGAAGGAAAAGGCTGCGCGTTTTGATTGCGAGACAAAACTCACCACCTTTTGCTGTACACGGACTAATCAAGGTTCAGAATCCGATTTAAACGACGCCGCATCAACACATACACACAGGTGACGATCTCCGCTCACGTTTGCATCCACCGAGTCAATTGGGTAGGATTGACTATCCCTGGAATCTGAATCTCATCACTCATCAAAATGCTGGCCACGTCACGTAACTACGGTGGGTTTCTGAGTTTACCCTCTTCAATTCAGCAGAAGAACTGGTTTTGACGGGTAGAGCATTGAGTCGGGCCGGGTCGAAACTTTGACCGAACAGTGTGCCTTTGCTCAAGAATTCATGAGCCATATATCCGGTTAGAAGCCGATTAGATGTAAGTTGAGAGACTGGGTTAGCCGCTGCTGGAATAGGAGCCGATCGCTTTATTTTCGAAGCCGAATTAGCCTCTGGAGTCGACGGCTTAAACAGAGACGGACAGCTCTCCCAAGCCTTGCGCTTTCTGGGCGTGAAAATTTGACGTGGACGCTGACTCATCTTCCCTATCACCCGAAAACCATGCCACGTAAGCGTAACAAATATATCCGTCAAATGGTATAAAAGATAGGGGCAAATAAGTAAATTAATAAATTCAATTGTCTTTTACTCAGAAACCTTTATCGCGAAATGTCCAAACTAGATTTTGAAATTAATTTACAAAAAAAATAAAAAAATAAAAAAATAAAAGCAGAATAAGGACCAGGGATAAAGCTTGTCCCAGAAAAAAAAAAAGAAAAAAGAGAGACAAGGGATAAAGTGTAAAATGACGAAAAAACCAGTATTTTAAATAAAATAAAATGAAATAACAGAGATTGAGAGAAATTTTAGGGAAATATCGGATCTTGCTTGACCTAAAAAGGAGAGATCCAAGGAAAGAGAAGAGGATTTGGCGACGGCGCCGCTGTAATCGGCGGTGGAGAGGAGAATAACTTTAAAATTTTGGGAAGGAAAGAATGAGAGGGGAGAGAGAAGGAGTGATGAGGAAGAAGAAGAATGAGAGAAAGAGGGGCGTGGGTCACCTACTTATATGGCAGAAAGTTACAAGAATGGCCTTATTATTGTTTTAAATAACAACAATACCCTAAAACGTAATGACGGAAATGCCCCTAATATTTTCGAATTTTTTTTGGGCTTTGTAACGATTAAAAAGGATGAGGATTTTGATCATATGAGTGTTATTTTAGTAAATTTGTATTTCTCAATTTATACACATATTAACTCATTGAAAATAATCCCAACTTACGTACATCACACAAATTTCTTATTATGTTAACACATATCTCAAATTTAAGTGTCAACTTGCATTTAGAAATTAAATCTTAAAAACAATTGTAAAAATGGTTGTTTTATAAAAATATCAATCAGTTTGATTAAATAAGATTTTGGATACCGAGCTTTTCAAGTGTATGTTGATAACAAATTTCAATATATTTGACATTTTATAAAAAATATTATTAAATAATAATTTTATTTTTGTAATTGTGATATGAAAAAATAAATCAGAAATGTTCGTCATATTTAAATGTATTCTAAAGATCCAAACATATATTTAGAATGCAAAAAATTTTTTTATCTCAAAGTATTGACTAAGATATTGTAGTAATTCTCAAATAAATATTGCATCATCAATGTAAAGACTATATCATCAATAAAAATAACCAAAAAAAAAACTATGATATATATGCCAAATAAATAAAGCAGACATATGAGAACTAAAAGCGAAACCAAAATTCACAATATCATAATTGAATTTGGCAAGTCAAGATCTTAATATTTGTTTCAAACCGTATAAAATATATTAAAGTATAGAAATCTTACAAAAAGGATGAGAATAATTAGGATGATGGTGAATATAAATCTCTTCCTATAAATTCTCATTGAAAAAACTTTCACTCCTCCATTTGAAAAGGACATCATTTTTTGCCACAACCATGGCTAAAAAATACTACTAACAAAAACCAATCCAATCAAAAAAGTAAAAGTACTCTTGTAACTAATACTATATTTTTGAGAATATTCCTTGGCTATTAAATATATTTTTTGGCATTCAACATGTCCATTAGAGCTGGTGTTAATCTTGTATACTTACTTACAACTAATTAGAGTCATTTAAAAAGAAGATCAACCAAATCTCAAGTGTGAGCTTTCTCTGATGTTTATGGTTTTTCTTTGTAACTTATTATAAAAGAGAGTCAATACTTACCTCATAATAAGAACAAAGCTCCAACAAAATTATAATAAATGAATCAACACTTGAAATATTCTTGTTAAAAGTAGGTGTAAAAGTGGGAGGAGTACGATTAAGCATATTGAAATGAGGATATTTATATCTGACCTAGAAAACATTTAGTAATGTTTAAAAGTTAGTACGATATGTGCATAAATAGCTTTATATAACATTATTCTTTACTTGTAATTGCCTTATACTTGAGACATGTGAAAATCTATTAACACGAGTTTAAGAAAGCTAATTTTAAATATATTGCATTTATACTAAAAAAATTTAACAATTTGCTCTGTTTCTTATTAAGATCGTGTAAACTAATTCATAACTATAATAGTGACTAAGATTCATAACTAATAATTATGATTAAGTTTGATAGTTTTATATCAAATATTAAAAAATAATAATATAAGTTATTTTATCAAAATTAACAAACTGGATGTGCATAAAATGTTTAAAGTAATTGAAATTCTAATCGTTTTATAATAACAATACTTTAGATGATCTACATATGTTATGTCAATATCATCTTTATAAAAAATAAGTCTAAAGATATTTTTTATTGCAATATACTAAATTTTATCTTAATAAAAAAACTTTTTATACCTTGAACTTAGAGATTATATTGAAATAGTAGTAATAAAATATAGTATTTTTCCATTATAAATGCAAAATTGGCAGCAATTGAGGCCAAAATAAAATTAGTGAAGATGAAATATTGCGCACACACAAAAAAAATTAACATGTTAAGTTGATGTGGTTGTATTAGGGATGAGATATACCGATATCGGCAAAAATAACAAAATGTAAGAACAATTACGTAATTTAAAGTAAAGTTGAAAGCCGATCCAAAGTTTATCAACAAAGGAAGTCCAAAGAGCAGAAATGACCTAAAAATCTAAATTAAAACCACATAGGAGCAAAGGTTAAGCAAAAAATGATAGTTGGAACTAAGATCAAAGTTAATCTTCCAAGAGGCTGAGTAACAACAAGGTGTGAGGACAATTGGTAAGAAGAAATACAATAAGACGAAAAGTTAAATGTTGCTGAACTTGTAATGAAATTCTTATTTTGGTGGCATACTATTCTAATGAAATTGTATTTATTAATTGATAGATTCTGAATTTGTATCTATTTATATATGTACATATTAGTTCAGAGTAGAAATAACATATACGTGATAGAAGGAAAGAATCATAACATATATACATTAGTTATTTAGTATGTATATCTCTTATAATTATGTTAACAATGAAGATCCAAATTACTCATATGGCAATAATTTAATTGTTGTTGTTGTTGTTATTGGGCTTAAGCTGTCAGTAATCCTTGGAGCTATACATTTTTATTTATATGTAAATATAAATATGTATTGACCACATGAATAAAATTCATTATAAGTGTTTCAATGAAGATCAAGTTTTTTTTTTTTTTTTATATATATATATAGCATCAGAGCTACACATATTAAAGTAGAAATTCGAGTTAATGATGAGGTTGAATATAGATTTAGTGGGAAGAGGAAGGTAGTTGGTACATGGTTGCAACGTAGGTTGAAAGGCAGATTTGAGAGGTAGATGGAAATTTTGGTTTAAAGAAGATGACAGTGAAGGAATATTTTGAATCACAGAGGTTGTAAGGGAAATATGAGTTTATCAAATCAGACTGTAGTATGAAATTATTTCAATTAGAAAATTTAAAATATATATATATATACATACATACATATAAAATATATAATCTATTCATATTTAAATTAACAAATTCTATTGTATATTTTCTGTATAATTTATCTGAATTGATTAATTCATCAATTAGCCGCTTTTTGCCGTATAAAATTAAAAAAGAAAAGTTTAAGATTCAGCCCAATGTGAGTCGGGCTCAAAGACTATGTCCAAATTACTGGTTCTGGCCCATTATATACTCATTAATTTGTACATAATTCTTTTTGTCCATTAATTATTATATATAATTAATAATATATATTAATCTTGTACGAAATAAGAGTAAAATTTTATATATCTATATCTTGATTTAAAACTCCAATAATTGCTGGACTAAAATTTATTATAATTAATTAAAAATAGTTGAATATAATGAAGTGGTCCCATGAAAAAAGAAAATTTAAAAATATGAAAAATCCATTGTACACAGTGTCTGTGTGGGTTCACATATATATATATATATATATATATATATATATATGCGAACCTAGTGGGTCAGTGGAAGAAATTAAAATATGAAATTATCCATTCTATACACACACACACACACACATATATATATATATGTATATATGAATCTATGGATCATCATCAACAGAAATGCATTATGAAAGGTAAGTAGGTAGGTTCCTTTCGCAGAGTCGAGCAACTCCATGTGCAAGGTAGATGAAGGTTTAATTGCATGTTGAAATTTAAATACTTCTTTCATTTTGCATGACTTCATACGTACATATCTATCCTTGCGTATGTATGTGTGTGTGTGTGTATATATATATATATATATGTAGTTCGGAAATGCATGATAGATCTCTAAATTATGCTGTAAAAAACATATTGTACTGTTTTATTAAATATGCAGGAGTTAAAAGAGAGACTGAAAAATATATTTAATTAATATTTTATATAGCTATTATGGTATGTGCATGTATCTAAATTCTATAGCAGACAATATTTGGGTAGAGGTATTCGTGTATACAATTTAGTTATTGCATTAATTACATAAACCTCCCTGACATTTTAGAAAATTGAAAAAAAAAAATCATCTACTATTTTAAATTAAATAAAGAATTTTATTTATTTATTTATCATACTCATTGAATTTAACTGTTAAATCTAATTTTAATACTAAACGTATTGATAAATTTAAATTATAATATTATACAAATAATTTATAAATTAAAATATATTAAATTATTGTTAATTAGCTAGTTCAATAAATTACTATATAATTATTAAATAAAATTAATTAATCACAAATACTAGTATCTGTTTTTTAAACACTACATACAATGCCTTTTTACTTAAAAATAAAATCATCAATAAATTTTTAGTAATGTATTAAAATTACAAAACTATATAAATAAATATTACATTAATTAATTTAATTAAAAAAATTAATGTGAAACTATTACATAAATTGGTTAATAGAGAGCTACTGGTAATTTGCTCTTAAAATTATTATAACAGTCTTCTATTTAATAATTTTGTTAACATAATATTAATATTGATAATTTAATACACTCATGCATTTAACTTAATATTTATTTATAGTCTTGTAATCTAGAAAAATACAAAGTATTTTAATAGTTAAGTAGAAACTCAGTATTAAAACTATATTTAACAGTTGGATTTAATAGTTAAGGAGATAAACTGTAAAATAGTACGAAAAGTATATATGAAATTTGTGTTCAATCTCAAAAATGTATTTCGTAAAATCTCATGTGGTTTATGTAATTTCTCATATGCATAACTAATAATGTTAAAAACTTTGTAGCATAATAATAATGTTATCAAAAGCTTACAATTTATAAATATTGTTCCTTGGCAGCTTTCATGTAAGATTCACTGGTAAGAGAAATGTTAAAGGCAAAAAGGGTTTCAGTAAAGAAAGCTTACATTTTAAGTATATACACTACCTGTTTAAGAGATTTATTATATATTATTATAATTAAAAAAATAAAAATACAATTATGTTTAAAAATGTATATGACCATAAATGATTATGACTTATAAATATTATTTTTTCTTTTTGCCATCTTTTACATTCGTGCTGCCATTTGTCGGCAAATTAATTGCTTATATACGATATATATAAATTATTAGCCAAATGTATACTTACACCTGCCCATTATAATATATATATATATATATAAACAGTAATTGCAGTGCCATAAAAATCTTGTTGCACATTATAAAAGGGTTCTCATGATAATCCCAAAAAAAAGGTCCTAACATTATGTGGTGCCGGTAGCTGCGAGAGTACTTGTCTTTATTAATCACAAATTTTTAGATGTTTAGGTTTTTCGTTTTACTCCAAAATGCAAATGGAAAAGAGAGAGATTAGAAAGTTGCTACTTGCATAGAGAAAGTCTAACCCTGTTATGAAAACCGTGTGATGGTTTGTATATTGAATATATACCATGGTTAGTAGTTGAGATCATTTAATGCCGACTTAGATGCTTATAAAGCTCGTCGCTCTGGTGTTAAATTATCACACAGCAAGATACAAGCATACTAATAAAATGGTGCGTGCTATTTGGGGAATTGCTTTGCTATCTTTGTTTTGCTTTCATGCTATTGTCCCGATTGTTTCTGCCAGGAATGTGGTCAGCCTGAGAAAGGATGAGGAGGAGTTACTCGGTTTCGGGAAGGAAGGAGGGTTCGGCAGTGGCTTTGGTGGTGGAGGCGGAGCCGGTGGTGGGTTTGGAGGTGGAGCAGGTGGGGGTGCTGGCGGTGGTTTGGGAGCAGGTGGTGGATTTGGTAAGGGTGGTGGACTTGGTGGAGGGATAGGAAAAGGTGGTGGGTTCGGTGGAGGAGCCGGGGGTGGTTTTGGCAAAGGTGGTGGACTTGGTGGTGGCATAGGCAAAGGCGGTGGACTTGGTGGTGGCATAGGGAAGGGTGGTGGTGGTGGATTTGGTAAGGGTGGAGGACTTGGTGGTGGCATCGGCAAGGGAGGCGGACTTGGTGGTGGTGGTGGATTTGGTAAAGGTGGAGGACTTGGTGGTGGCATAGGCAAGGGAGGTGGGCTTGGTGGTGGTGGTGGATTTGGTAAGGGTGGTGGGCTTGGTGGTGGTATAGGCAAAGGTGGTGGTGTTGGTGGCGGTGGAGGATTTGGTAAGGGCGGCGGCATTGGTGGGGGAATTGGAAAAGGTGGTGGGTTTGGTGGTGGTGCAGGTGGAGGATTTGGTAAAGGCGGAGGGTTGGGTGGTGGTTCTGGCGGTGGATTTGGAGGTGGTTCCGGTGGTGGATTCGGAGGTGGTTCTGGCGGTGGATTCGGAGGTGGTTCTGGTGGTGGATTCGGAGGTGGTTCTGGCGGAGGATTTGGTGGAGGTGGTGGGAGCGGATTTGGTGGAGGATTTGGAGGAGGAGCGGGTGGAGGTGGAGGATTTGGCGGTGGGGGTGGTTTTGGTGGCGGTGGGGGAGGAGGAATTGGAGGCCACCACTGAAGTTGAAGATGAATGCATTTACGTACTTAAGGTTGCATGCATGCATTAATTTAAGTTTTGGTTTGCGGAAGGAATAATCATTTGTCTTGCCAATATATGTTAATTAATTAATAATCTATATATAAACACAAATCAGCAATTAATATATGTTTAATTACCATAATGAATACGTAATGATATAAATTCCATATGTACGTAGTTTCTTCATCTCTCTCCCAATCCATGTGTTGATGAGAATATTAATATAATTTCCTGCTTCAAATTCCTTTTTTTTTTTATTTTTTAATAAATATATATATATATATATATATTATGAAGAGTGATAAATTAAATTGGAAAAGGCAGCAGGAGAGGAGGGGTTGAGAATTTAATGGGTTAGTTAATAAATTAATGCAATTGGACGAGTTAGGTGGGAGGGCGATGTCAAAAGGCTGTGGGTGCATTTATTTATATATAACCACCAATCACTTGGAAACACTCTACTTACGAGTTGTGATCTCGTATACATATATATACACACACACAGAGAGACACTGTGACAAAACCTACTCAGTTACAACATTTAGATACTTTGATTTTTAATTATACATTATATAATTAATTCTAAAATTATAACCCGTATAATAGAAATTTAACATAATTAAATTTGAATGTATTAGTTTAGTTTTAAAATGTAACACCCACCAAAACTTTTTTTTTTCCTTTTTTTATTAATAAATATAATTATTTATTTATTTAAATTATTTTATTTTATTTTATTTTATTTTAATGAAAAAAATAGAGTAAAATTTATTAAGGATTAAATTGAAAATAATTTTGAGAAAAATATGTGAAAAATTGGGTTCGATTGATATTTTTAAAAGAAAAATAAAAAATCAAGGATCAAAACGTAATTTAGAAAAAATTTGTCACGTCAAACGCTCGGTCAGCAGTCCCGACCAACCAAGATGCGCCAAGTGGTAGAGGCGCTGACGCAGGAGGCCATGCGGGGGAGCCACGTGGGCGATCTACGTGCGTGATCAAACGGCTGAGGTCCGTTCCCGCGCGCACAGACGGCCTAGAGTGAATCGCGATGGACAGCCCAGATTGGATTGTGATGAACGACTCAAATTCACTTCCTATTTAATTGCGATCGGACAGTACAGATCAAACGTGATTGATGACCTAGATCAAAAGCAGATGGATTTAAATAACCTCATCTACACCCAAACTCTAACCTTAGCGGCCAGAACCCCTCGCCGAAGAAGACAACCCAGCCGCCGAGGAGCCGAGTGCCACCACTCGCCGCTACACCGGAACCCTTTTTGACCGCGAAAAAAAAAAGGTAAAAATTTTCTCCTTAGCACGAAATTCAATTTTAAGCCCACCCATGGCCAAATCAGAGTGAAAGAACCGGCTAATTGGCCGAAAAACACCGACGAAGCCCGGCGGCGCCGCGGAGAATTTCACAAACTGCCTCCGATGAGGCCCTTTCTGATTCTCGTTTCGCGTAATTTTTCTACTATTATGATCATCGTTTTCTTCTCTACAGGTTGACTGAAGCGAAACACTCAACCGCAACATGAGCCGGAGGAGCTGCCGTACCGAAGAGCCCCGCCGCCGGTGAGTTTCGATTTTTCGTATTTTTTTGGCTCATCGAGGCCCTTTAGCGTGTGTGCTCGCAGGAATCGATGCAAAATCGGCCGAATTCGGCAAAAAGTGACCGACTCGAGGCAGACTGCTGCCGCCGTGCTGGATTTTCGAAATTGGTCGAGCGGGCCCTGGGACTGATTTTAGATTTATTTAGAACATTTGTAGGTACTATAAGCGCGTTTCAGTTCTTGAAGAAAAATTCAGGGAACCTAGAGACAGCCCGTAGGCGCAGTAAACCGTTTAGCTTTTTGGTGTCAAATCGAGTAAGGACCCCTCACCCTATTTTCTATCATAGAATTGAAGTTTAAATAAATAATAATACAGTATTTTGTAAAAATTAAATAGACGTGCATAATTAATTACGGATTGCTAATGGAACCTGAACTGGACA